GGAAGGAAGGAAGGAAGGAAGGAAGGAAGGAAGGAAGGAAGGAAGGAAGGAGGAGGGAGGGAAGGAAGGAAGGAAGGAGGGAGGGAGGAGGAAGGAGGAGGAAGGAAGGAAGGAAGGAAGGAAGGAAGGAAGGAAGGAGGGAGGAGGGAAGGAAGGAGGGAAGGAGGGAAGGAGGGAAGGAAGGAGGAAGGAGGAAGGAGGGAAGGAGGGAAGGAAGGAAGGAAGGAAGGAGGAAGGAGGGAAGGAAGGAGGGAAGGAGGAAGGTGGGAAGGAAGGAAGGAAGGAAGGGGAGGAGGAGGAGGAGGGAAGGAAGGAAGGAAGGAAGGAAGGAAGGAAGGAAGGAAGGAAGGAAGGAAGGAAGGAAGGAGGAGGAAGGAAGGGAGGAAGGAAGGAAGGAGGGAAGGAGGAAGGAAGGAAGGAGGGAAGGAGGAAGGAAGGAAAGGCAAACAGACAAGCTAGTGTTATCGGCTTGTCCTTATCATGCTTATGTTCCCTTGCAGCCCCAGGCCTGACCTTGGGGACATTTGTTCTCTGTTCTTTTTGTGGGGTACACAAGCACACAGACCTCAGAGGTCTTCCTCCAGCTGCTTTTCTTCATGTAGGACCCCTCACTGGCCTAGAGCTTCCTAATCAAGTTTGGCTGGCTAGTGAGCCCCCAGGAATATGCTTGTCCTAGCTCCCCAGGGCTGGGACTACCGGTGCATGCCACCATGGCCAGCTTTTGCACATGGTCTGGGCTACTTCTGATCCCAAAGACCAAGCCTAATACTCCTGAGACCCAACTGAATCTCATGGGTCCTTTCTGATCCCTTTAATGTTGTCCTCGCAGCCTTTGCACATCTGCCAGCCCTGATGCAGCACTTGGCTGACAACTACAAACACTGGAAGACACTGGATGACCTCAAGTGCAAAAGTCTGCGACTTCCATCTGACAGCTAAAGCCACGCCAGGGGAGGGGACCTCCTGATGGACAGAGGACGCTGAATCACAGAGGAGTACAATCAAGAGGGTTTCCTCTGTAATGACAATGACAGGTGTAGACTAAGGAACTAATGTTTAATATCTGACCTGAATCATGCACGCCCCTAAATTTCATTTTCAGAAAGTTATGTTCCGTCAATAAAAGATGTTCTTTTGAATCACTGGGTGACAAAACCACTTGGCAGCCTCTTCTGCCATGCTGCTAGCCTGCGTGCCCTTGTAAAACCACAGAGCTGACTGACTCACTGTAGGTACAAGCAGGACACAAGAAACAAAGTGTCTCTGCGTCTCCTGATGGAGACCAGGTAGTCTAGCCAGTGTTCACTCACTACTTGACTACTTTCCTCAATGGCAAAAGTGTTAAGGAATCCAAAACAATCTTCTCTGAGGAGATGTGTGTAAAGGAGCTACTTAAAATGGGCAGAATGAGAAGGAAACCATCCGTAAACGTTAGCACCGCAGTGTGACACCCACGTGAGCGTCTGCCGCCTGGGGAGCCCCTTCCTCTGTGGAATCCAGCTTTCAGGAGCCGACAGATGGAGGAAAGTGGGGTACTGCTTGGGGGGTCCTTGCGTGTCCCTTCTTCAGGCTCACGGACACAGCCACATGTCAGAGTATCTATAAAAAGCCATTAAATCTGAATGCTCGCGGACAAGCTTTAAACAAAAAAAGATTTAAGAAAAGAAAAATTTATATATATATATATAAATATATATTTGTTGTTCAAAGATTTTTATTAAAATAATCTAAATGTCCTGGATCTTCACCCCTAGAGTTTGCTGGGCATTACCTGTACCTCTGTATCTGGGGAGGAAATGGGAAAGTTTCAAGGTTCAGAAATTCTTGATTTATATTTGAGACATGCCACTTGCTTTAATGGTGGGAAGAGCCTGCAGGAAGCGTGAATGTGTCAGGATGCAGGCACATGGCGAGGCGATAAGTACCATCCTAAGCTATTACCTATACACTGAAGCTCCTAAAGCACAGGGCATATTTTTATACAGCTCTTTTCATAAAGCCCCGTGCTCTGCACACGGCCAGGCGAGGCCGCTCCTCCTCCTTTATCAGCCGGCCCTTCTCTGTCACGAACACCAGGAACTAAGCAAGCAGAACGCCTTAGTTTATTTTACCTGCACTCCATGATGCATTTTTAAGAGGTAAAGACACTGAACTAAATCAGTAGTTACATTTTTCCAAATGAAAACTGGACTGCAGAATATGTGAAAACCAGTACATGGGGAAGAAAAAGACAACTTATCACTATGTAATGTGCCAATGTTTTTTTCTATGTTTTGTACCAAAGTAAACATGTATGAAAATCCCATGCAAAGAAATGCATCTAAATTATTTTTGCTAGATGGTAAGAGGGCTTGCTTGTTGGACAGGGGCCGGCTTTGTACCGCATTGCTGTTTCATGTACAAGTGATGAACCATCTGTGTGAAGTTCTTGTAACTAAATTCTTACAGCCATTTTTCATTCCCAACAGCTGTTTTTATTTTATCTCTTTGGCCTAAACTTTTCATAATTTCAAATTTGGGGTTTTTGGTGTCCTTTATTTCATGACTCGCCAAGTTTGTTTTCAGAATGCTGAAGTCAGACTGCCAGGACCTCAGAGACAAAAACAGTCTCCTTAGGCTTCAGAGCCTGGCTGAGCACCAGGATGATCCTTCTCTGCTGCCCAGACGCTTTCCACTCCACGCGGTGAGGGACACTAACCCGGCACCTGACACTTCGTATATGAAACATTACAGCTTGCTCAGGGTTATGTCAAATCAGTTCCGTGTTACTTCACATGCTAATAATGTGGATGTTAAATGCTCTAGGATATCCAGGCGCTAAAGCTTCAGCATAATCTTAGTAGTGTAAATTTCAGAGACCTCCTGAGTTGCTAAGTGGCATATTATTTCGATCTATTAGAATCATGGACTTTCAGGTGGTGTTCCTGCACCTCAGATAATTTCTATATGATATAGAGCAACTACCGTAACTGCCTCTTTCTCCTCTTCACTCTGACACCATGTCTTGAGAGGACCTAAGTTAATGCTTAGGAAAATGTAAAGGCAAGAAAAGTTCCGTTAATACTATTATTAAGTACTGTCCCAAAGAGAGAAGTTAGTTGTAAAATACTGTTACTTGAGGCAGAATGTGCCTTCCTCAGCCAGGGCCAGCCTCTGCAACAAAGAACAGGCCTCATCAGTGCAACTGTCACCCATTCAGCCTGTGTGCAGCAGAGAAGGCTGTGTTGCACAAACACACACAGAGACCCTGCTCAAAGCACTGGAAGGGCGAGCAACAAGGCACACGATGCAGCGTTCTAGTGCTGACAGCTCAGTTAAGGGAAGTAGGAAAAATGCACAAAATGTATGCTGGCCTGAGCTCTAATTTTCTTCCTCTAAATTGCAAGTCCACGTCTTAGGAACAGTCTACATGGAACTGCTGAAGGGCACAGGTCCAGTCCTTGCCACAGACACCTACTGTGCTGTGTCCCTGACCTCGGGTCTCCCCCGGGGCTGGAGGCTACCTTCTGAACATACTTGTTCTCATGGTGGGAAACGGAATGGAGCATCCACGATCCTTGACTCTGGTCCTGTCCCCTCACAGACCTCGAACATGGCTTCTGCTCCATTTGACTAGATAACTACCACAGAACAGCAACCCAAAACAGGTTAGGGAACAGTTAAAAGACAAAAACCTATGAATTCCTTGTCTTCTTTAAGAAAACATCTTTACTAAGGGCCTAATATAAAATTTGCAAAGAAGCAGCTAGCAAAAGGGGAAAGCCATCTATGGTGCACATCTCAAAGCTTTAATGGAATCTAAACTGAATTAGCCAAAGTGATCAGCAGGCAGATGTACTCTGCCTGGCTGGCGGGCGCTACCCACATTCCACCTGCAGGATGAACAAGAAATCTGCCTCATGTGCAGACTCTTCAAATAACAGCAGTCTGCTGGCTAAAAGACACTGTCGGCTTCCTCATTCATATCCTGCTATTGTCCTAATTAAGGTAGCTTATGTTTTAGTCCTGTCTTTTCCTTAACACTATTTCCATTGTGAACTACAACAGCAGCAAGGGCTGAGAACACTCTGGTTTCGTACCACAGTCATCAGGAAGTGCAATCAGCCCTCGCTCTCCTCCTTCATTTTCTGTTTTTAAGGCTGTTCAATGACGATGGGCACTAAGCATGAGCTCATGACCATATGCTTGGTCTCCTCATTGCTAACATTTTGCCGCTCATCTTCCTACGATCTTAACTCTACTGATCTTTGTAGACAGCTCTAAAAGTTAGAACTAGTGAAAGCAGCAATTTTCAGCATCCACCTAGGGAGTAGAGTATGTGCATGTACTCTTGGAAGGGCTAACGTCACTCATCTTGCCTGTCTCTAATAAGATTCTCTAGTCAGCAGTTTAGAACCATCCCCATCCTTACTGTGTAGAATCCATTTTATGTTTCAGTGCCCAAAGTGAGAATATTGTCATAAGGCTGGTCGGGGGACGAAGATGGTCCAGGCTTAGTGGATATTCAAGGAGCCACACAGTGAATCTGTTCTCAGCCATCTCTCATTACAGCCAAAGCAGACAGACAGGGCAGTTAAGCATCAGTTCCTGACCTGAAAATTGCTGTGTGGTCCTTCCTAGTCCAGGCTCATCCTTGGAGCACCTGAGTACCACTCTGACAATCACTGCTTGGACCAAGTCATGCTGAGAGAGAAATGCACCCTTACATGGTGCTGGTGGGCCAGAGCACACAGCACTTTAATAGTCTCAATTAAATATTTTTTCAGTTACTTAAATTAGTTGATACTAAAAAGAATCATTGTATTTAAAGAATATAACTTTTTGTTGGCTAATATTCAAGTTTGGTTTTACTGAACAGTGGTGGCTACTCAGAAGGAGAAACTGTAGCCCAAAGGATATATCTATATGACAGTTCTTAAGCAGTCTCTAAGGGAGCCCACAATAAGCTTTTTACATAATGTGACCACTTTATATTTATCTTTTTTTTCCATCACTTTAAGAGAGAACACAGCACCCACCACTTCCACAGTGCCCATGGGAACCTGTGTTATGTTCTTGGGTGGACACACATTGCTGACAGACAAACAGAACTTCATAGGCAAGGAGAACAAGACAAATCCAGGTGACCGTTGCGTTCACGGTTTTCACAGAAACGCTCTGTATTTGATTTTCAAGGTTCACGAGTATGCACTTGTCCAGTTCCTTCAACTAGATGCAGAATATAAGTCACCATTTTCTTCTAACTTCTGAAATAACTTTAAACTGCGTAATCCAGATTCTCGCTCCCCGTTTTTCCACAAGATGATGAGATGATCTGCAGAGCATGTCACTAGTCCATGATCTTCAAAGTACAGAAACATCTGCAAAATAAATTGACATACTAGTTCAAGACTGCCAAGGAGAGGCTAAAGCTGGGTCAGCACGCGTGCTTTCACCAACTGAAGATTTCTTTGGGTTTGAATGCAAAAATGGTTTGATTTTTCTGAGAAACTTTCCTATTTGGTGAGTGTGGGTGAGGCAGGCCCGGGCTGTGTACCACTGCGCCACCACCTGGCTGTCTCCCCACCTCTGCTCTTTTGAGACAGGGCTCACTTCTGCAGGCTTAGCCCAAAGGCGACAACCTGCTGCTCTATGAGCCTCCTGAGTGCCGGGGTCACACGCACCTGCCACCAAACCTAGTGAAAAGTGTCTTTTTCAAAACTTGTTGTGACATCCAATAGTTAATATTTCAATGGATTCTGTTGATCAGCTACAGAACTACAGTAACAGTGATTCCCGCAAAGCACATGAATTCTCAAATTATCTTCTGAATTTACCACAAGCTAATTATTCACATATTGGTTTTAAGATTTGTCAGGCACAGACCCTCTCACACTTGCATTATTTACTAAAATATGGCGACCAAAAAAAATGTCTTAATCCCAAATGTCCCGAGATAAATGCTGGCTTCAGAGATCTCTATGAAGTATAGGTACTGAGTCAGTGCACAGTATTTATGGTGACTTCAGCTTACAGTCCGTACCGTGAAAACCAGGGCCAGCTGCGATGACTGGGTACCACTGAGAGATTCTGTAGCCAGGTGCTACCTGGTAGCATGCCACAGACACTCAGAGCGGACATCCAGCAATACCAGGAGAACCACCACAGAAAGAAAACTCTCCAAGTAAAGGGAAGGGCACGCTAGGGAAGAAAGAGAATAGAGGCTGCAGTGCACAAGTGAAGGAGGACGGATACTGTACCTGGAGAGAGACACCTAGGACAAGGGTGAGCTTTAATGACCAGTGTAAGAAGGGAGTAGCCGAACAAAAGCCAGGGACAAGAGGGTAAGGTCAGGCCTTCCTGATGACTATGGAGAAACAGGAAAATAAAGGAGCAAAATTTCTCAGGAGATTAGAACATCATTGGTGCATGGGCAGAAAGGCCGGGCCAGGCAGAGAGAGGGAGAACACAAAAGCCATGAGGGTGTTCAGAAGGGTGTTCAGGAGGTGAGTGTGTTCAGGAGGTGAGTGTGTTCAGGAGTGTGTTCAGGAGGTGAGGGTGTTCAGGAGGGTGTTCAGGAGTGTGTTCAGGAGGGTGTTCAGGAGTGTGTTCAGGAGGTGAGGGTATTCAGGAGGTGAGTGTGTTCAGGAGGGTATTCAGGAGGTGAGTGTGT